CCACTCAAAAGTTAGGTTGGCAGTGGTAGCGTAAACAAGGGACCCTGGATGTGTGATGAGGCGGCGTTTGGCGTGAAAGACGCATCTCGTTGAGCTGGACTACCTGTCAGCAGGAGCGTGGATCAAGTCAGAACAGCGATAACTGACTAGGGTCATTTGACAACACACGAGGCAGCGGTGGGACAGCGGGCATCAGTGTGGCATTTTGGCCGTTGGGGATTTGTGGACTGTCCGAGATGCCTGGCACATGGTTGCCGCGTTAAATGAGGGATACGGCCTCTGTCGGACAGCGGACACAGGCTGCTAACTCGACAGTGAACCGCCTGGGACGTGGGGGCTGGGGGTCTTTCACGCCTGCACCAACCTCCCGGAAGCCCGTGTTGGGGCTCTGCTAGGCGTGTCATGAAGAGTCTACACACACACACACACACACACACCCTCCGAACTGCTGAACGGTGGTGAAGGTGTTGATGAGCCAAGGAGTGGGAACACCGAGAACGCGAAGTCGTGCTGCGCGTGTGACTGTGCCATATCATGCAGTGTGATGTGGTTGAGGTGGTGATTGTTACTTGGCGAAACTGCGGATGAGAGATTGGGGTGGCAGAGGAGGCGGCGGCGGCGGCGGCGGCGGCGGCGGGAGCTGTTTTGTTAGCATGACAATGCTGGAGCACACCGTCCCACCGACTTTAGAATCCAGTCATCACGTGACACGCGACAACGACGCTTCAACACGCCCACCACGTGGCATCACATTTCACTCACGGGCTTTCATTTTAGTGAAGTTTGCGTTAAGCGCTTGCTAGGATAGCTTAAAGAAACTTGTCATCAGTAACAAGACAGGATGCTCTGAGTGGTCAAAAAGGAATGAACTAAAAGTGTAGCATAAAATATCGCATGTTTTTTAAGTAATCAGAACAAAAGTGATAATAAGGGAGACGAAAAGCCAATAAAGGTGTGTGAAAATGGCAACTGACACTTGGGATGACTTGAGATGCTTGCGTATTAAACATCTGAAATACTAATGATAGTTGATACAGTGGAGTGGGAAAGGCGGCAGTGCAAGAAGGCTTACCCGGTTTGTGGTTGAGATTTCCAAAGTCTCCGACGCCACACTGCACAGTGCTCGGATGAGATAGCCAAGAGCGATTTCGTCAAAATTCCTACAATAAATGACTCAGTCGTGATTCCCGATTCGAGTACTTAGTGATGACAGATTTCGGCCACTCGAAGTCCCGATAGGAAGAGCGCATAAGTTAAGGCAAAACACGAGCGATCACATAAAGAAACGCTCTTCAGGAGGAAAGAAGTATGCCAGGTGAACACGGTGATTGAATGGCGAGTTTACATTCACGAATATACCAAGTTTATTGAATGTAAACAAAACTAAAACCCGTCTTGGAAGTGGGACAAGTGGGAAAGCTACTGCCCTGAGAAAGCATTTTTGCGAACACATTCCACACAGTTTGTTTACTTTAGTTTACCCACTTCACACCACACATGAATTTGAGCCACTTGCTATGTTTCTGATAGGAATCGGTCTTTTTGACAGGGCAATTTGAATGGCTGGTAAATCCTTATTTTCAAAGGTTTACAGGCTTTTAAAGGAGCTGACAGGGCTGTGGGGGCAGAGTGAAGACAGGCAGGCCAGATGGGAAAACCGAGTTTCAGGAAAAGGGAGAAGGCTACACGAAAGAATTACAACCAATGAGGCTTAATTTGGGACAGATTTGAGTGCGTACTAATTTCTTAAAATGTCAGTGACAGACTGTAACAGACAAATTGGAGATGCATTTAAGTGAATTTCTTGACAGATCGCATAAGTGGCAGATGTTTTGCTTGTGCCGATTAACTCCATTACTCTTTCAAGGTAACTTTAAAAAAGGAATCGTACTTTTGCAAAGGAATAATCAAAAATCCGACTTAGGAGGGAACACGGTTTGAGTTCACAGGGCTAAATTGATACTTCATGCTTTGTCCGCAATGTGGAACTACGGCCAGTGTTGTAGAAGCTTAAAAACCTAACCTCACAGACTATCCAATAAGTTTACTGGTATTATCATTGTTACAATAGTGAAACTTAACAGAACCCAACTCGAAAAACCACTAACAAAAGTGACAGCCCGATTTAAGATATAAGAATGAAAACACGAGAAGTGGACAACTTTACCAAGAACGCACATTTTACACTAGCATTTACGCTCTATTTGCAAGGTAACATCCACTATTTCCATGTCTACCTCTAGGGAAATAGAATGGCTGAAACGTAATTACGCTAGGTGTTTATCAATGTCTAAAGTGATGAATGAAAAAAAGTGTAATTGCCGTAGAACGAAGTTAACTACTAAAATTTTAAAAATTGCAAAAAAAACCCTATAATGTGTGTTATGCACTTTTGCTCATCGAGGAATTCGCACGGAAAGTTGGATTAATTTTTCACGTTTTTAGTGGCCATAATATTTGTATGGTAAAATATTAATTAGCCTGAGCTAATCACGTAAAAAAGTCATAAAGCCAAGAGGAACCGATTAGCGAGAAAAACCAATGGCAAATAATAAGCCAGAGGCTGAGAATCGTGGTTGACTTGAAAACAAAAGCGTTTTTGATTAGCTTGTCACAACAGAAACCCAATTGACAGCATAAAGCGGACGAAAAGAAAGATGTAAATTGCACATCACGAGACACGAGCCTTCTAGGTGATGCCATCTATGCGGACCGTCAACTCAAGGCGGCGTCCTTTGGCTCAGTGGCCACTTCGATACGGCCACGGGGTACCCGATGGATTGGACGATATTTCGAAAGGTGGTTCATGCATTTACTTTAATGACTGACTCGAGGAATGGGCTGACACCGTGCGCCAAAGAAATGGCGGCTTCCAAGACGTTAAAATAAGTGAATAAATTACTGGCAAAGTGATAGCCACTACATGACAAGGTCAGTATTGCTTGCGTTTTGGACTCGAGGTCCAATCAGTTTTGACATGGTTTATTCAAAACCCACCAGAATTTGAAGCAAGTTTGAGTGAAAACGTAGCCATATCTGTACAAAGAGGGCATTCTGGACCAGACACACAGTTTGCTCTAAGCCTGGGTGTTGGGGATCCACGATTCCCCAAGATTGGTTTCTGATTTTATTTACATTAATTTATTAACATTTGTTTTGTTACGCTTTTATCAAATCAAGGTCAACCTTGATTTGAATTACTTTTGATTTCACTTCTTCCCTGCACGTGGCTGACGTGAATATAGCTCTCCACAGGTGCTCTGACCTTGTTCTTGCATTAGCCTGGGAAGGTCGGTTCTAGCTTTCAGCAAGGGATCTTATACCGTTATTTGAGTGGTTTCCTCTTTGTTACGGGCAAACGTAACACTGGGACACTTTAATGAACCAGTCTGATTAATATGGGCTGCTAGTGGAGAAAAGCCGTCCAGCATTTGGTCCGGGTCGTGGGTTAGAACCCGTAACTAATTGCCAGGTAACATTTGCCGAACGCTTGAAGGTATGATATAGAAAAGTGCTTGTGTACGCGAAAGTTGGTCATTTTTTAAGTTTACTCAACTTCTTACTCCTCGACATACTCAAAACACCTCATATCGTTTAAAACCGTATAGGTATTCAAAAAATAATTTGGTTCAATTGTCTAACATCAAAAATAATGAGTTGCAATGTAAGTTAGGTAGAAAAAAGTCAAATGGCGGTGAAAGGGGGTTTCCAATAAGGCAGATGAAAAGAACGACAAAATTGAGGAGTTTTAGCTTGAAAAAAGACAATAGCAATAAGTTTAGTCAAGCCAGTGACAATACGCGTGGTTGTGAGTTAGCCCGGTCTGACGGTTTTTTTTCTTGCAAAAAAAAATGTAAGACACGTGTAAGCAGGTAGAACCAAATAATTATTGAATTTTACAGTTTACCCAGCCCTGCCACATCCAATCACCGAGATAACTAATAAAAAGGGGGCAAATTACGGCTATTTGCAGTGACCATACACACGCGCACACACACCAAACTGGAACAAAACAGTTGTACAGTGATGTAGAATGTGGGAAGGCATTGCACGAAACAGCGAGCGAGTCAGCAGTCTGGAAGCAAAACGCCTGTTTTTAGAAGCTGACAATAAACCCAAAAATGCGACTGCCGTGCTGGGTACCAGAAATGATGGGATTGACGACAGTCGCTTAAACAGCAGGTCACGGGGTGTGACGCTAACAGTGGTGGAGCAGCGTTAGGGAGCCAACCGCAGTCGCTAAGCTGAATGCGCCACCGCGAAAACGCACCAAGAACAGAAACTAATCAGGGGGCGTTTTTCGGATGAAAGGACTTTTGGTCAAATTCAATAGCCATCAAAGGCGAAACAAAGGATCGGAATAAAGCAATTTAAAGTGGAAGTGAACCGAATCCGCCTGACCGAATCAAGAAACACGAGCATTTGCCATACGATGAAGTTGATTAAAAAGAGCCAAAAGCCGATGATTCTATTAGGGGCAAAAAAATGTCGCAAAATTCAGGCACGGCGGTGACGGGGAAGGTACCGATTCACGGGGCATGACATTTGAACCTAGAAATTCGAAAATGTCCCAAGTACCACGTTGGTGCTGTCGGAATAAAACCGCATGTTTGAAACGTAGCAGGCCACCTTCATTGACATGAAAGAGGCCACTTACTTGGAGTTTACGGGGAAAAAATTTGAGAAGCCAAGAGAAGTTGTGCAAAAATCACAACTGGCAAAAAACGATTGTTGAGGAGAATGGATGAATTGGCAGTGGCAAGTCAACAGACAGATTTTGATGACACCGAACCGCTAGCAACGTTTCATGCGGTTTGGGGTATGACAATGTTGTGGGCCCCAGCATGTGGTCTTGAACCACGCCGGGGCCACGGAGTTAACCCTGGTCCGATTGCGCTTCCCTGATACTCGCGATGAAGATCGGGGAGAACGTAGACACAATCGTTCACTTCAGAGCGCCCCCACGTTGGTGTCGTTGTGTCGTGTGTGGGGTTTGCGCGTGTGTATTTATACCTCGGATGTGCGAGTCATACATGCACTAACATCGAGACCTAGGTGTGAGGATGATCCAAGACAAATATCCGTGTGAATGAGGGGAGAGGGTTGAGGATCCGCGCGGCTGACGACATGCTGCGAAAAGAGGACCCTGTGTCGGAGGTGGATCGACCGGATTAAGGGATGTGAATAAACACGAGTCACAACAACAGAGATACCAAGGGAGGCACTGAAACAACTAGTTTGAATCAGTGATGAATGTGAAAGATCGTGACCTTCTACTGGTTTTAGCCGACCACCAACACACAATGGCGAAAAGCGACTAAATAGCCATCCAGGCAATCCGAACAGACAAGTGAGAGGACTTCGTGTTCTTTTACGATGTCCCGCGCAGTCCCATAAAACGGGAATGAAACTCCCGCACAGTGAACGTGATATTCGCATTTTATGTGACTCTGCTAGAGCACCCATTTTCAAGTACACCAGAGAAACACATTAATGGAACCAGACTGGAAGATGAGGATATAAACCGAGGCTAATTGCGCAGCTACAATAAACACACATGCAGCACCCAAACACACATGCAGTATAATTAAGATGTTTTGACAAAAACACGGCCTATCTGGTGTGAGCTACATCGGGTACAATAATAACACATACAAATTTGAGGCGACTCATTATGGGCGTTTCGTAGACGCGACATCTAACACAAAGGTCTGGTGATGGTGCATGCATTTTTACATTTAACCGAATTTACTAAAAAAAACACCAATTTTTGCCTCTGGTTAAGACGCTGAGAAAAAATGCAATCATGTTATAACAGTTGTGTACTACATGCGCCACTTCCTCTGTGTATGTAATTGGCTGGCAAGTAAGTTCGGTTCTTCACGAACAGATCGCGAACCTTTCGCCTTAGAGAACCGATTTGTAGCCAGTGCTGCTTTCAGCTAGCTTTAAAAGCACTGTGCAAGTATTTTTATTTATAGCCGTTAGTGTAGAGTCAATTTTAACGTGGTGTACACAACTTACACCGCATGTTTTTACCTGCGTAAAAGCAAAAAACTGCTACGACTCCCACAGAGGTGAAAATTACAGCCCGAATTACATGAAAAGAAAACAAAAAGTGAAGTGTTTACAGAAAAGGACAAATCGAAAACGAGCGTGTTTTAAACGCGATAAAATCATCACAACCCACACCAAAAGCAAAAATGAAAAGAGGGCCAGACGATCAACTTAGGGTTCTACTGCCAACAACTTTTGCAATTGGATTACGAAAAGGTCCAGTCCAAAAAAACCTTAAAAATTGGCACCAGCACGTCCGATTAATTTCGAAGTTTGCGAATTATTTGATTCGTAAAAAGCCTCACAACCGGCAATGATCTGGAACAGGACTCGACTCGAGTTTGTTGCTGATAAGGGTGAAGAATTTTGAGTTGTCTGCGAAGGTCGTTGGACAAAGTGAACAACACACAGTTGATTAAAGTAGTCTTTGTGCTATCTTACAGGAAAAAAAGTGAAATTGTATACCCATCAACTGCTGAACTCCAAAGTAGAGAAACAGCAGAAATTTACACGAAGAAAGGTCAGCGTGTCTTGCAGACAAAGGGCCCAGAGCCGTTCCCCGGTAATTCGCACAGGGTCTGATTACGGGCACATGGTACAGTCGTAACATGCTATACATTCGAAGTAAAACACTATTTACGGTGCGCTTTTGTAAGATTCATGGCTTAGAAAAACCCTTTTCATCACTTATCACGATATGTTGAGTGATTTGACCAGAAAATGAACATCATCACATGCATCTGCTCGCTTGTGAGACAATTTTCGCATATACAGCTTGCGCACAGCCTGAAAATGACCGTCGGCTATTTGCAGAAACTCAGGCCTTGAGAATTTGGTCCTTGCAAGACGGTCTCAGCCAAAAAAATCACTTTTATGTTCCGATGCAGTGGTTGGCCCAGATCGTTAGAGTTTGTCATTAAGATTGATGCAGGCGAATCAAAGTAACAAAGGAACAAAATCCAATCGCATGAATTGTTGCTTCAACCTGCATGTGCGTCATGAGTTTATGAGATTTCCCACTTGGACTAGGATTCGTTTAAAGTAATTACAAACCATTAAAATGCAGACGCATGGTGATTGAGCCAACTAACTGGTTTGGGAAATTGAAAGGCAAGCATAGGGGGTGGAAACCAAAGAGATTGGGTATCTCAAAGCTACAGAGTTAAGCAAAGCTTGATACGTGCGGGCAGTGACCCAGGCATTACGGCAGACTTCTGGTCTCGCAATCCGAGGAACGATGAGTTAAACCACCACCACCAACACACAATCGCGACCAAAGCGCAACTCACTTTGACTGCTCAAATACAAAGGAGAGGGTCTGCGAGAGGGTAGGCAATTCCGAGATGACCTTGGAGACCACACCGCCACCCTGAGTGGCTATGTTGGGAGCACTTGCATTCTCAAAGAAGCTCGTGTCGAGGCTCATTGGGGTGGGTGCGTTCTGGGCATTCGACATCGACGACCCTGTCGCTGAGGGAGCTGCCCTCAGTCCAAGCATCCACACTAGTTGCTAAAAAAGGAAGCAATAAGGCATGTGTTTGAAACACAGAGGGCACCTTGGATCAACAGCAGGGTTGCGTCTGTATGAAGACCTTCCGGACTATTCCCTGTGTTTTTTACTTTAGACACCTCAAAGCGAAAAGTCCATAAAATTCTTTCTAGATTACAACGATGCTACTTTTTTGAATAATATGTATCCTAGCGCCAGAGGGTTGCTAGTAAAACATTTAAAGAAAATAATTTATCGTTTAGCACATGTTTTGCGGGAGACACGGTGAAAGGAAATACGGCTACAGGTTCATGTTTTAGCTCCACACGGCAATTCCAATCAACTCAGGGTGAACACGCCTTTCCATTGCTCTGAATGCGCAAGCTTTTAACACAGCAGGCTGTAGAATACGTTCACAAAGCTATGAAAAACTACGGAACTACAAACAAGTATAAAAAAACTAGCTGGTGATGTTGGAAAACGTTTGGATAACGGCCAGTAAACAAACACAATTAGCACGAAACGATGCAGCGATTCCCGAGAACGACAATTCCGATTTTTTAAGGAAGGCGTTCATGAGTCCGAATAAAGCATAAAACCCGGTCTATTTAACAAAGTTGCTGAAAAAAATCAGTCATCGTTATGGGGGGGCTATTTTTCACAGCCATTATCCAGTCGATCATTTTTAAGCGTTCATTTGTGCAGAAAAATATCAAGAGGAGGTGGTGGTAAGGTTCAACGAGATTTTTCTGCTGTGAATCGCGTTGATCCGGTCACTCCGTCCTTGGACACAGGGTCTCCTTATCGCAGTATGTCGCCACCCGCGCGGATCCTCAACTCTCCCCTCATTAGCACGAACATTTATTTTGGATCATCCTCACACCTAGGTCTCGATGTTAGTGCATGTATGACTCACACATCCGAGGTATAGATACACACGCGTAAACCCCACACACGACACCAACGTGGTGGCGCTCTGAAGTAAACGATGGGGTCCGCATCCTCTCCAATCTTTTCCTTCATCGCGGGTATTGGGGAAGCGTAATCGGATTAGGGTAAATTCCGTGGCCCCGGCGTGGTTCCAGTTTCCATCGCCTAAAATTCACTCGAGCCATGTTTTTTTTACTAATGTCTGTCTCAGTCGTTTGTTTGCAGAGGGCTTTCCGAGGTTTCGCTACGCCAATTTCTCACTAAAACCGCGAGACCTGGCCGACCCTCTCCTAGCCCCAGAGCACCGCACAACTCAACATGACAGAATGTCGTGTTGAGCACGCTGACATGCAAGTGAAACGTCACTCTCCTTAACTTTACTTCTAGCTTGCTTTTGACGCTTGGACAATTTTAAGCCCCTTTAAAACTGTAATTGTTCATCCAGCATGCAAGTATTCTCACTCTAGTCTCACTTTGTCATTTGTTCAAGAAAATACTGTGCCTCAGAATGAGTCCTCTGTGTTGTTTTATTAATTAAAGCTACCGTCACTGTCCCGCTTCGTGTCCGTGTGTCACAATTTGGCTGGCGATTCGCAACTGCATACTTATGTGGTTCACATTTTTGCGTAGCTACTCTAATCGTCGTACGTGGGCAAATCATCGATTCGGCCCTGTCTGTTCGAGACACAAGCCACACTGCCTGCTTGTAAACCTCCTTTCCCCCATTAGCGGTAAATCAAAGCCCGCAAAACTCTTGCCCTCTACTGCTGGGTCCACTGTGATGGTTGTATGCTTAACAGGTTAGGTTGGGTATGAAGTGTTGTGGACCCCAGCTTGTGATCTTGAACCACGCCGGGGCCACTGAGTTGGATCTTGATCTGTCCCGAATACATTTCCCCGATACCCGCGATGAAGGAAAAGATTGGAGAGGATGCGGACCCCAATGTTTACTTCAGAGCGCCACCACGTTGGTGTCGTGTGTGGGGTTTACGCGTGTGTATCTATACCTCGGATGTGTGAGTCATACATGCGCTAACATCGAGACCTAGGTGTGAGGATGATCCAAGGTAAATATCCGTGTGAATGAGGGGGGAGGGTTGAGGATCCGCGCGGCTGACGACATGCTGCAAAAAGGGGAACCCCGTGTTGGAGGTGGATCGACCGGATTAAGGGGTGCGAATAAACACGAGTCACAACAAAGCCTAACTACCGAATTGGTACAAGGCCATGTTTACAGCGTCATGGTAGTAGTCAAAGGCGACGACAGTAGTCTGAACTTTTGAGATGGGAATCCAAAATACACAGCAAACATGGATGCAGCCCAAGAACAGGACTAACGAGGAAAGGCTGCTGTTCCGTCAAACAACACGGAATATGTAAAAACAAACTAGCAAGAAAATGACCAATAACAGCCTCGTACTTCAGTACAAGAAACTCATGAAGGAGACAAGACGACAAGACACCTCACCTGCATGGTTGTGAGCACCGGAAACCAGGATGACTCCAGCAAGGACCCGTTTGTCTTGGCCAACTCCAGCAGAGACTTGGAGATTTGAATGTGCTTGGCCGTGATGAAAAGGGAAGAAGGCGCCTGGGACCCATTGGTGCCGGGTGGGACGTCTACGGAGCTGCCGCCTGACGACGAGGAGGAGGACACCTCGAGACTCAGGTTTCCTGGGCCGTGGTTGGCATTCACCACAATCACAACCGGGCTGCGATCCGTGGCCTCGTCGCAGACCTGAGGCGGCTGGCGGTGTTTGGGGGAAACTGGAGGGGGGGTGGGGTAACAGGTGAGTGGGATAATCCAGCAACCAATGATACCCCACATTGCAAATAACGTGAGGTACTCTTAGAAAAAGACTAAAAAATCACTTTGACGGCAACCTACGCCTCTGAAAAACAGAGTTTTTCTTGAAATGCTTTTTTTAACGCCAGGCGCATTGACGTAAAAGGCAGAAATGAAAGCAATACACGTGTGCAATACTATGGACAGAGAAAATGAATGACGCAGCCTGTTCTGCAACAGAGAACAGTGCTCAGAATAAAGAGTTCTCGCCACTCCAGGCTGTTGGGTTTAGAAAGGGTAACTCTGATGGAGAGTGTGGAGCGACAGGTCAAATTTACCAAAGGATCAAAAGTTGGCACGTAGAATTCAAGTGGCGAAGTAGTGGGAAATTGCGGAAACACTTGCAGTTATTGGCTATTCAAGAGGTAATAACATTATTTGGAAATGGACTGTTTTCGTGGTGCAGTGAACAAAACATATTCACATTTAAAGTTTAACGGAATCAACCATACTTAAATCCAGTAACATAGGCGTGGATTGTGGTTAGGTGAAACCAAACGAACTCAAAGCATACAACAACAACAACAACAACAAAATACATCTAGTTCTACATCACAGTTAGATGTACAAGCAGAAAATCCAAAACAGGCGACAGCGAAAAAAAAATTGCCGCCTCAACAATAATACTGCCAACTCAGGGCTGGAGGCAATTCACTACATTTTGGCCGAAATTCGGCATTTAATGATCGCAAAGAAAAGGCTTTTTATTAACAATCTGCGCTCCAAATGGGAGAGTGGAGGTAAGTGGACGAGTCAAGCCGTACTGACAAGATTTTCATGAGAGACGAGAGAAAGGGAGAATAACATCACCACGTTTGGTCAAAATGACAAAATGACGGCTACATAGGTGGATTGGAATGCATGTCAAAATCACTATCGCGAAGGAAATGAAGCATTAGCAAGAGAGTGACAGTCTATCGACACTAAACTGGTCAAAATCACCGAGTGCTTTGCGTCAACTCTGGAGAACTGTCCATGTCGGAAATAGTAACGAACGAATGGCAGGGGGTGACAGTGACGGGAAGGGAATGCGGGTGCGGTAGTTAATAAGAAATGAAACGAATTTAAATCACCATCAAAAAAGCGAGTTGAGGGTAGTGTAGCCAATTCAATTTGAGGCGAAAAAGAAGCAGGGTTCGGTGGACACGGGCGACATGAAATGCCCAAATTCATAAACCACTATAAAATGCTGTTAAAATTAAACACCACTTAAGGCAATTTGTGTTGAAAAGAAAAATCACTTGTACGCACGCCTCTCGGAGAGAACGGAGAGTGAAGGGAGAGCTGATTTGCAAATAGAGGCAACAAAGGCCTCTCGAGAGTCCCCCAGGCCACACAGGCTGCTGAGAACGACCATCACACTTTCAGCCAGAAGAAACGAATCGGTCAGTTTTTCATCGGCGCTGAAATAAAGCAGAAAGACGAAGCACTGATGGGGGTTGGAAAAACATCAAGAGAAGTAAATTGTTTCATCAAAATGCTACTGATGGCAAATAAGTAATCGTGATTTTTTAAAACTCACCAAGCCTCAAGCAGGAGCGAAAGCGCAGGAAGCAAACCAGTCCACGAAAGTTTCAACATTTTGTGTTCCGTTTGTGGCTTATCAGACGATTTTACTCGTTGGATGACATGTTGTAGGGACCAAACAAATTGCAGTAGACAGCTGATTGCCAGACGAAGTGAATAGCCCTCGGGAAGGCAAGGAGGCTCAAGCCTGTCCAGCAGTTCCAGGCTGTTTGTTGGCAGAAAAAAAAAGAAACTCAAAGTCATGCTTTGAAGAAGCACGGGGGGGGGGCAGAATCAGGCCAGAGCAAAACTCACATGGCAAATTTTTGCACATCTGCAATGACAAAATTGCCGCCCCGATAGATTAACGCCGGTTTCTGTGACGGCTGATGCCCTGCAGACATTCCCGAAGGTGCTCCAACTGAATCTCTGTCTACAATGTTGGCAAAGTGAACAGATGAGAAGTTCTACTGTTAATGTCCCAAGCTGTAAGAGAGTTCCGTAATTAGACAGAGACGTGCGACGACAGAACGCGATTTTACTCCAAATTAGGTGTGAACACAGATTGCAAAAAGAAAAGTGTTGGAGAAATTGACGACATTCGATAACGAGACATAATATAAACAAGGTGAACATAAAAAAATATTTTAAAATTAGGCAAGAAAGTAACTTTTGCAGAGACTAAGAATTTCTCTACTTGGCTCTGCGTATGAGGCTAATATTGATAAAGCACACTGCACAGTTTGACATGCCTGAAAGTGTTTTTAAACGCAGTGCTTAAAGTAGGAGAGCGCAATCAAATTAAGCATCACTGACTTATTATGGGTGACCATCGGTAAAGTGTGGGGGCAGTACATAAAATCAACGCTACTGAGCTAAAGCAAGTAGAGCGATTTACATCCAACAATCTGCAGTAATAAACACTTAAAACGGCGTTGCGTTGGGACGCACGCAATCGACTTACTAGGGACATGTGAGGCCAAAAGCGTTGATTGGACAAAGCCACTTGCGGTAGTAACAAGTCCACGGAAAACACGGGATTGAGGATTTGCCAAGTCAAATGTGGCACAAATGTTCCTAAGTAGTAAGTTGAAACGAAACATGCAAATCAGTATTTTCGTTGCACAAAATAGAACAATATTGAAGTGATCTGTCCGATTGCATCGGCCCATGATTGTGCTAAGCACAATTTTCGGGTTGCCAATTATATGCACAGAGAACCAGTGTTCAATTATCTTAACAGGCTGACTAGTGGTGAATTTAGCCAAGTTGCTCAGTATAATGCGGCCACACAAATTACTCTTTAGATGCAACGTTAAAAAACAAAACAGGCGCAAACTGCAGTAAAACCCAAGATGGGTTGCCCACACGGAACACCACAAGGTCAGGGATCAGCTGGTGTACTTAGGAAGTCAATGACCATTGGCTGATGAGCACTTGGCTTTTCTTGAAAGAGGAAAAGTAAGAGGAATGATGCACTGCTTACACCAATAGGTCCGGCAGCGAAATGACCTTGAACATGACCTCCAGAGCAAGGGCCAGACGCCACATCGCAGTCTCGGTGTCGACGGTGCGCATTACCGTGGACAATAAGACCCCGCATTCTGCGTTCTGAATCCAGGAAAAAAAAACAGGTAAAGTTAATGCATTACTGAGGAAAACACACGTGCTTCCTCAAATAGCTCGCTAATTGGTTGCGTTTTACGGCTCCACTTAAACACAAACCGGGTGCAGAGTCCTCTTAACAACAGGTATCATATTTTTTTTAAAAACCAATTGTCACAGAAGTCGACTGCATTTGACGGGGCAATTTGAGGAATAGAATGCGAGAAAAGATATGGACTAGATTAAATATATAAGTGTTGAAAATAACAAAACACTTGATTCTACAATAGCTCGAAAATTCAGGCTCGATGAGGACCGGAGAATCAGTGTTTTGGGTGACAGAACAAAAGTTGCCAAATTTGATTGGCTGATTTCACTTCCAAAGATAGCGCCACAAACTCGGAGTTCAGTAAAATGATTAGAACACTGAAAAGGCCCAATGAATGCCCTCTCAGGACCACAACAGTTTCGAATCGGCACAACGACCAACGAGCACAACAAGACCCATTTGTCTTTTGTCAAAAAAGATACTTGACTGCCTGCTAAGAGAATACCTAAGTCGGAAGATCACCATAGCAAGATAAAAGTCTGTACATCGAAGCGCTTCGAACAGCCAAACGCCCATAGCAACCGCCCGTTTCTCCCAAAAAAAACAAAGTTTGCAGGCAAAACGTCTGAGGATCACCAACGAAACCACACATGGAGCCACCAAAGTTAGTCTAATCGTGAGACCGGGTTAGCACAGTAAGGGCAGTTATGAAAACTCAACTGATGGGTTCCCCTAGATTTAGGAGACAAAGTAACTTTTAAATGAATACCAGTAGTGCTTGCATGTCTTAAAAAAGGAACAAGGGAATATCAATGTTCACACATTTGAAAGTTACTGCGACCAGTTATGAGAGGGACGAAGCCACAACCTATGAGAAATCATCAAATTACCCCTTGTGTTTACCGTTCCTAATACCCTAAGGCTTGACAATAGCAAGTGCGGACAAAGCACAGCGTTGACAAAAGCAGCAGCAGCAGCTACTACCAGAAAAACTGTTGGAAATTAGCGGTTGAGGTGGCGACAACACTCTCGACTCAGGCTTACAAGACACGCAAAGTATTTCGAGCAGAGCAGAACAACGATGCGGTTGAGGCGAACGTGGATGCCGAAAACCGAGGGTGCGCTCGACGCGGCAACACCGGGTCCATCACCGGGGTCGCGTGACCCGCCTGTCTGCGCGTCCGGGGCCAGCAGTTTGGTGACCAGGGGACACACGCGCTCCTTCAGGAGGTGCAGAAACTCTTTTTCCTGAAAGGGAATGTGAGACTTCATTTGAATCCCTACGCCTCTACGCCGATAACAAACGGGGACTGCAATACAGTAGCGGTTAAAAAAGGAAGGTGAAAGTGGAGAGGAACACGATAATGTAGGATACCCAATAAACACGTAATAACCTTTGGACGAATTAAGGAACTATTTCAAGTAGCTATGACCCTTGTTCGTGAATTTTCTTGCGAATGTCACTATTCGGTTATTACTGAGCGAAAGGTATTTGGATTGGTTATAAAATGACTGGTTTACGGAGTGTCGACTCGATGTCTCCTGGTAAACACAACGATTACGCATTTACGAAAAGTTCAATTTTACTGCTAATACAGCAACTCTTGTATTTAATGCTGGACTGCTTGCTGTTTCACGTGATTGTTTAAGAAAAATTCTGCGGTGACCAATTACGGACACAACCCACGCAAGCGGAGGATATGGTACGTCCACAATGAACCGCAATACAACCTCTGAATAACGAAAAAGAAGTGTAAATTATGAATTGCGTTGACCCAATCAGTGCATGGAAGTGTGGCAAATGCTAGCTCCCTAAGACAGATGAAGGCGTATCCTGACTACAAACTGACAACTTCCATTAAAATGCCTCAGAAGACTTCCCCGTGCAAGTAATGAACTCACCCTAATAAAGAGGTCACAGTAATTAAGGAGAACAGATTCAATTAGCTCTAATCCAAGGAGAGGGGAAATGGATTCGATGCCTTGAAACCAATGAGGAACGCTGCCGGACGTCAACAAACAGAGATCCTAGGGAAAAAAATGCACTTTTTCTTCAAACAATTACAGAAGGCGTCAGTTGGTCAGTTTGGTCAGTTTTCAAAGTGGAGCGAGGGCAACAGCTATCGCATTGCGTACATAGTAAAAGCAGCAAAGAACGGGGTTGTGTAGTCTAGAGGTGATGATAGGCATAAGACGCCTACTTAACTAGCAATAGACCACCTAATAGGAATTCCATCGTGAAATGATTTAGAAACAAATTTTAATGGGTTAAGATTTCAGACAAACTAAAAAGGATACAACAGGGTTTGAGACAAAAACCTTGTGGACATAAGCTAGACCTGATTGACAAACTAACAAATAAGTAGCGCTTGCGGATGAAACAGACAAACCATAAATCATTTCAATGTGTAAACACATGATGTTTAAACATGCAACAAATATATCGAAGAAATGTACTTACTTGAAATAAAAAGAAGGCGCTCTTTGATGCGGGGGTGAACTTAAACGCACTAGTTTTGTCATTGGCTGCAAAAAAAGCAAGTAATAATTGTAAACAATACTACACGACTACAAAAAAATACATGGCAGTCGAAAACATCTTCTGAAATCGTTCACAACTTATCTCATTCATAGTAGCCATTCAATGACTGATAACACTAACACTAAATCAGAGGATGTGTGACCAACTAATGAACCGAATTCTTGGTAAAGAAACTTACAGGAAACACTGTCGGAAGAAGATGGGGGAACGTCCTTGCAGGCTTGATCGAAAACAGCTCCAGTGCACTGACGAATTGCAGCAGCGGCGGTATTAACTACAGCACTATTTCTGCTGTTATGTAACCGTAAACATATGCCTAAAGCCTAAAATAGAATTTGAAAGTAACCTGATCACCGAGGACCCATAAAAACTAATGACAAGCATAATACCGAGGCAATCGTTGTAAACTAAAATATGAACAAAATATCTGAACGCAGGCAAATTCTTGTATGTAAAAAAACGACAGACAGGATACAAATACATACGATAAAAGTTATTCAATGAAAAAAAAACATTAAAGCAATCAGATTTCAACAAAAAGTTGACCGAACCTGCGATAGGGAAGCATCAGATAAAACGGGACCTGTTGTGACAAGAAGAATTGTCGTTTGCAATAATTTTAGTTCCTCTAATTCCGCATCAACCAAGGAGCAGATAGCCTTTAATAAATTCTCAACAGATGTCTACAAATATTTGCTGAAAAAACATTTACTTCAGTTAGCAATTGGTTTGTAATTAACCGTTGTAACGCAGTCAAGCATACTGTTATAAGTTTTGGTTGTTTTGTATAACAGCCTTCAATAAAGGGGTTAACGATTTCGACATTCTTCTGAAGAAAATCTAAGAAGATAAAATTTACAGCGAAACATTACACGAGCGCAAATCCTGATTAGAATTAACCAATCCCTTGAATAGTTTTAACTGAGCATCAGCATTCTAAAACTACTATCAAAATACTCAACGCAACGTACGTCTTTAATTGGTACATATTTTTTCTTAGTTTCATTCACAACATTCCGGAAATCCTGTTGCAATTGTTCAACAATTTTTAACAAATTCAAAGCTTCAGGCATTTCTTTGTCTTAAAAACGACCGCTTAATGCTTTCGAGGTCAGTTTAATTATTGTCCCCAAAGTGATAATGCAAACGCAAAGTAAATTCGGCAAAAACAACAACCCGCCTAAAACTCCTGAATTGCGCGGCTGATTTAATGCGTAATAAAACCAGGCCTTCATTTCTTAGGTTTGTCGGTTAATGCGGCAATCTAAATAAAGTATTTTTTTTTTAATTTTTACCTGAGTGTGCATAGTACAAAAAATTATTGCGTGATCTGCAACAAAATGATGTATCTTGCCCCAAATAAATATTCCGATTGGAATCATTTACCTCAAGCTATTTTCAAGGATTCAAGTTAAATAAATGAAAATGAAGTTTTTTGCTTCAGATAACCCCAGTATCCATACATGAACTTTCTTTGTCATGCTGTCTTAAGTTAATTTTTCACTTATTCTTCATTGCATTATATTCTTGAAGAGAATTTCGAATAAATTTTCAACATCTTTTGTCAAGGAAGGGACCAGTGTATGGCACACGAAAATCGCATTGATAATATTGGGTGTATGTGGAAGTCTAACATATTTGTAGCGATGTTCGAACTAAGAATCATTATAATGTATCAAAAACACGAAATGTAAGTAGAATAATGCAAAGCAGATATTGAGCCGATCCTTGCTCCCTTTCTAAATGCAAAGCTTCTCGCGTCAACATCTATAAATCGTTACTGAGATGTGTTGACCCTTAAATCACTGTTGCTAAATGCTAGAATGTACCGTGAGCATGGTGACACAACAACTGACGAAAATGAAATATTGACGTTATTTTGAGGTGTTCATGCCATCCAGAGAGCCACAGCATACACGACACGCAAGAACAGTTAGAAAGACCTTCGTTTTTAGTATTATACGGCAGCCACATGCAAGAGGCACGTATAACAAATTCTACAAGTGTGTGGGGAAGGAGTATTGATCACCAACTTTACCTTTACATAGAAAGTGGCATTCACAAGCAAAAACAAAGAAAATACAATAAGGTGTAAATAAGACAAAGTCAAATCGGTGACGGTGTTTTGCAGGAGGAAGCTGAATAGAGCAGGGAGCCGTTAAGACTTTCCATAGAGAATCATTTGCACATACTCGGAATAAGATGGCGCCGTTGCTGTTCTGTCCTCTACAAGCGCATTAATAAATAGGCTCTTAAGCGGCTCAGGTACATCGTGACGAATCAGAATAAGAGCTGTTCCAAGGGATCGGTCTCTTCTAATGGATTTGATCAGCGTTTGCAGGCGTTTTCTTGGAGGTGGCGGCAGCGTTGCTCCATCTGGTAATCCGCCCAGTTCCGTCACAGCCTTTTCCACCGTCAAGTCCTCGAGATTTGAATAACCAATTAATGAAGTTAAATCAGCTGCAGAAAGACCGAATCCCACCAAAAGGAGAATGAAAGAACCCGTGTCTAGTAGGAACACACCATCGCGTGTGATTGACTTCCCTGTTAATGGCAAGCAAGACAAAGCTGCAGCGGACGTCTCGTCCAGCGACAATGAAGCAGCCTTTTGTGCTAAAGTGGAATCTTTGCCAGACAACGGAGCTGATAAGAATGAATTGACCGCATATAGGCGGGGGTACATCAATGCAAGCATGCGATGTGCAGACGCGCCGATGAGCAGTTCAAGAGCTCCAGATCGAATATCGAGTGAGGTAGACGTGTGATTTCTGAATGCCGGGAACCGCAAAGCGCCACATAAATAAGACGGCAGGAGGCGAAGGGACGATGGACAGATTCCCGACAAAGATGAAGGTGAATTACCACTATTACGTTCGTTTTGGTAGGCAGATAGTATGTCACCCATTACCGTAGTGAGTGCTTCTCGAGCGTTGGCCAGACCCGAGGAAATGGTGCGTTCCACGGCCATCTTGGCCACTAAACAGGCTATTGCTCCTTCGTCAGCGTAATTGAATACAGCCTCCGGGGAGTCGGTCACGGGAAGGCACAATGTGTGAACACGAATTCGACGGTCACCGAACGATGTGGTGTACAGTAATGCAGCCTAAAAAATTGAATAGAACGCCTAATAAAACGTGTCTGAACGGAACCAACCGACATTGAAAAAAAAACACATCGGCAACTTAATCATGGGAGAACTCATAAACACATTGATATCTATGAAACCATTATAATTAAATACGCATCTGTTTGTTATTCCTTTTCACACTTCCACAGACACCAGTTTTCCTTCAAGAATTTCCTATTTTTGTGATATTGCACCACTCGAAATTAAGACACCGTAGAAAGGTGGTTTGACATGCAGCATTGGTTAAATTTTTCTCCAGGCAGGTAATTCAGCTTAGCTGTGCAAAGGTTTGTTTTGAACTGATAACAGCTTATGCCCTGAGTCACTTATGCTTAGATGGTTGGGGCAAAATTTAAAAAAAAATAAGGAATACTTACCTGCAACACAACAGTTTGGAAACTGTCCAACTTTTCGTTAATTTCTAACTGTATGGCATAACCAGCATCAGGATTCACAATTGGTAAGTTCAGGAGGTCAACAGACCGCATGAAAAAGTTGCCGTAGAAATTCTAAAATGTTGAAGATGGCATGACTCATAACCGCTGGAGAATCATATTTCCCTTCTTATAGACGAATCACTCGATATAATATCGCAGTACGTCGTTTCGTGAAAGTCTGAATACGACGGGCAAAAAACCTATTATTTATTTGAAAGATGATAAGTTAGCCGAGTTAGAGTACCACTATACGAAGAACCGAGTTACTGATTAATTTAGTGCTAAAAGGCCGTCAATCGACGAAGACAAGTAAGGAATGAAAGCCAGTTACCCACGAGCAGAAGCATGTCCAAAGGTAAAGCTAAACTTGTTGAGCACTTGATAAGTACCACAAACACCATTTTTGAGCTTCGAGTAACAAGTTATTAGAATCCATCTTACTGAGTTCAAGATAACACTAATCGGATTGAAGTGATTTGCACGTCAGTGTGTCACGCCTCGTTTCCCTGATGCTCACCATTTAAATAAAAACGACACGCATGTTTCAGAATTTGTGTCAGCGCAGCAATTAGTATGGGCACTGTCCCATCCACCAGCATGCCAAATGTGATGGAATGGAGCGTGGCTCACCTGAACAGCAAGACCTCGTGTGCAACGCAACCTAAGCACAGCTTCGAAGCCAATTTTGCGCGTCAGGTAGCGCAAAAGATCCCTGCGGAGATTTTCGACCTCCACGAAATCACACAGGGCCGGCGATGCCCTCTTGTGCGTGCCGGTGGCATTCGCTGCAGGCTCTGGGTCGTAGTGGAAGTTCGGGTAGTGGTAGACGCCGCCACCGGAAAAACGCGCGACCCCCGAGATCGTGGCAATGTCACAGTACTTGGAATTCAGCATAAAGAGGTCGACCGCAATCTGCAGTTGAAGAAAAAGCGGATATGAGAGTGCATTGCATCGGAATAATCGTGAGACTTTGTGATTAGAGTATCGATGAAACAACAACAACAATTTTGGTTGATTCGGACTTAACAAATTGTTTACATGAGACTTCCATAACTATTGGCCATACCTGTAGTCACGTCGCCTTTATGCAGAATGATGGTGATTTAAGTAAAAAAACAAGCCTGGAAGGCGCACAAGCAGAAAAACTTAAGCAATAATTAAACATTTCGAAATAGTTTGAATTTGATAATTACTGCATAAGCTGGATGGATACTTCAAACGTCATTCAAGGTAGCAAAAAAAAGTCATTGAGCGAAATGCTAAATGTTTGATGTGAACGAGGGCTGACCTGGGCCGCCGCGAAATCGAGCGCGATGGTCCGATAAAAATCGGACACTGGGCGAAGGTGTTCTGGGTCGGGTTTGGTGAGGTCCTCTCGCGTCTCACGACACTCTAGAGCTCCCGGACCAAGAGAGGGGATGGTCGTGTTAAAAACCGTTACTCGGCCTCCTGTATTACCAATCAACTTCAGAGCAATCTAAGGAAGCAAAAAACAGCTCGTAGTCAATCTTAAATTAAACAGTCAATTGAATAATGACATAATTTTTTGAGAGAGTAATGATTCAGTGGCAGACACACTTCGTCACAAAGCAGAAAACCAGACTTACTAGAAAATGCAGATATTTAATTGATTATTGATAGGTCGTGATTGGGTACCAGAAAGCGCATTAATGCAGCTAATACTCGTTCTCCAACTAATTACAGCCCCCTTTCAAGGACTGCACAGCCGTTACCACTAACAACTGGCAAAAAACTTAAACGTATGCACAGGTAAGTTAATACCTCATGAAGTCATTTAGTTGACACCATCTGTTTGATTAAAATTAACACCAAGAATAAGTATCGACTTCACTCAATTAACCGTTTCTTGTGAGAAAGTGAGTTTTGGGCAAACACACAAGGATGGTATACCTAGTAGCTTAGACAATTGATTGTACATGACAATAGATAAATCTTGGAGTTCAATGTGCAAATAATATGGCTTAAACTTTGTAGAAACAAGCGTCGAAAACACCTAGGGCAAAAAATGCAGCTGATATGGCAATCTAGAACCGTGCAAAAACTAACACGACACCAAACTTGTGGTGGCAGGTGGAGAGGGGCTGTGGCTGATTCGAATTCAGCTAGAGCCCATGTTGGAATACAGTGTCAGGGCGGGAGCACCAATGTTTCAAAAGTACAAAAAGATGGTAATCTCTGATGAGATCGTGTCAAATAAACAACGTGGACTTTCAAATGAAAGGGTGTGGTAAGAGGTACAGTAATGACCTTGGGTGGCGGAACGTTATTTAAATCGAGAGTTTCAATTAGAGAGAGGAACGTTAGTCTTGTTACGCTGAGGATTGATCATAAAACTGAATACCACCACAATGAAATACAAGTTAGTGAAAGCGACAAACGCACCAATTGTGGTTGAAAAGTGTTTGGAAGCCGTCAGCATGCCTGAGTGTACGAAATTGTTGGATTATTTATGGGTTTCATTACTATAATATTGATAACCGTGAATCGCCATGCCGGGGAGTAGCAAACGCATGAAAACTTTGCTTAATCATTAACCGCCCTGTGCCTCCAAAAATATGCATAAAATGATTACGAGTGGGATTCGAAACACATCACTGCATTGATTAATATATTTAGTAGCGAGATAACCAATCTCACTGTTTTCGACTAAACACATTTAGTCAAATAAAAAAAAGAAACAAATTAACCCAGAAAAGGACTATGTGATAAACGCGATGTCAAAGAGGTGTGTGAATAGATTTGCACAAACTAGGCTTCAAAACCAGGTAAGCGTGTCAAACGCTAATGGCATAGGCTAAATGGCGTACACGTGCGAAGACATGCACATCTTGCGAACATGGTTCCACTTGTGTCAAAAAATTCCACCTGAATGAAGCCCTTTTCATCCGTGGTCAGCAGCAGGGATAGCCTCACAAAGTGTCAGTAGTGTAGAAAAAAACATTCCTTCTCAGATAAGTATCAGAGAGAATCAACATCCAGATAAGACAGATAATGCAAAAGGGTGTCCTGGTGCTTGTCTTCAATCTACTTAAAGTGGGTTCGTTTTACCAAAATAACAGAAATTTGGAAATGGCAGGCAGATGCAAAACAATCTAAGTTTCTTTTTGGATCATCACGAATTCGAAAGATATTTTAAATACAAACTACAGACTAATAAACATTTGGAGATCGAAGAGCACGCGTGATCACGTTTGTAGTCGAGTTAGATGGGATGGAGATGCGCTTTGTGAATAACTGGAAAAAAACGCAAACCATTGCTATTATATGTTGCCTGACGACGCGTTTGTGATCGTCTCAATCTAACGTAAACATTCGTTTCATGAGGGCTAGTAAAAATTTAGGTTCATCTACAGGGACGGAATGAAAGTTTGACTACCACGGCAACAAAGACAACACACAGGAAGTTAATTTTCCTGGGTCGCAAAAACTAAACACCAGATTTATCTAGACATTGAAAACCACTACATAGACAAATACTAACACATTGATAACAGAGCACACGGAGACTTAACACCTGGAGATTTCTTAATGCTGTTGAGACAACCTTCGAAAACGGTTGCATACTTTACCTAATCAATACTTGAAACCGTTGAAAAACCCACAGTATGCTTGAGATGGGCAAAATTTTAGACAGACAAATCTGTCGCCCACATCGATAGAATTTAAAACCTACATGGGTCCGTGAAACACATGCATGAGGTGTGTGTTACCAGTTAGCATATGCTCTAGTACACGCGAAAAAAGCATAGCAAGGACTGCTATTCTGAAGGTGGTGACTCGATTTATGGAGACATAAAGTGAATGACGCGTGGGTTGAGCGAGGTCAAGTATTAAACAATGCATGTTAGATTGACAGTTACGGAGGCCTCAGAAAACCTTGAAAGGAAAACGATGTATTTGTGGCGAGTTTTAACCCAGAAGCTGACCTGAAGGACAAAGCCGAGACAATTGGAAGTGTCCTGGGTTTGAGCAAACTCGTTCGGTAGTTGCCTAAGCAGGTTTGAGATTTGTTCAGCGCAGTCGTTGATGCGATTGACCATTCCATCCATGTCCGGCAAGAATACCTCAGAGAGGTCCTGACATATCACCATTCGCATGGTCTTGCCTGAAAAAAAAAGCAGCACATACGAAAAACCACACTAGACGGTTTAATTTGCCAAGGATTCGTGCTCGACCGAAATTTAAAATAATGTAACAGAGCTGAAATACGTTCACAAGGAGGCCCCAATGTGGTGTTTCGAATATTTCTGCAAAAATTGAGATGCGATGAGCTATGGTGCCTCGTAGTAAAGGAGAAAATGTCGAAAGCACGTGTGTCATGGATATTAGAGGAAGTACTAACCTGAGAGAATGTAAAACTGCACGCCGGAATCGTAGGTTAGAATAGCCACTTGTCTTCTTGAATCGCCGGGCATTTTGTTAAGTTGGTCAGCTAGCATGCCGCAGACGAGATTGAGGTAGCCCGTTGTCACAGCGGTCCGCGAGACCTCCAAACAGAAGACATAAGTAGCGGCCTGTGGGGGTCGCAACATGTATTCCGAGGTTGCGATAAACTCCACGGTAGAGTAGCGGATTTCCGGTCTGCAGGAGGGGTCGCCGTAGGTCTGAGTGGTGGGGTCAAAGTAGAAACTGTCGGGCACGGTGTTGGTCAGTGTGCACACAGGACAGCGCCAGCGGCGGCCGTTGTCGACAAACTTGACAAAGGGATTGATGTAGATGCGGCATGATCGACAGCGCACGATCGCCGGTGTCTGGATGACAGGCAAGTCATTGACGTCCCGAAACGGATGTACCATGAGACCAAGAGGAAGGCGGCATCTGGACTGCAGTTTGCTTGACACCGGCACCGTGGTCAGGGTGCATCGCATAAAATCTGGATGGCAATTGACCTCAAAAAAATATGGAATGAAAGTGACCGGGGGAGTTCGAACCCAAGTTACTTCTAGCGCATTACTACAATGAAGGTTTAGGTCTAGCATCAATGAATTCCAGCTGAGAAATGAACATACAAAAAGCTTTTGGTAACCTCAGTGCATATAATCTGTAACACGTAATGTTACGCACCATAAAAAAGCAAATTCATTCTTAACAGTTAAGTCTTGGCAAAAGTGCATGAAATTCAAGTCAAGGGATAAGCAAACGACAGCTTGACTGAAGTAATTGACGTCAATATGGCGAAATCAAAGGACGGATTTTATTAGGCTGGTGCAAAAGTAATGTCTGTGTTTTTATTTTAGATGCTTTAGATAGTATTATAATTTTGTCTCCGTAAACTCTTGAATGTTAAACTAACTGCCCTATACCAAAATTCAACGGAGGTTTTATTCATGAGGTATTTTCTTAATCACGGGTTTCGCTACCGGGAAAAAATATTGTAAGGGAACATCACTTTTGCACCGCTCAGACATTTATGTCACGTTTAGGTATTTTTTTTAAATGAGATGGCAAATGGAGTCATCTGAGTGAAGTAATGAAGTATATACAACGTGAAAAGGATAGAAGTTGGCATTGTGAAACGGCTCGTGCATAAACCCAAGTAATGGAACTTGCCTGTGACATTATTACTGGCCGGCGAGGTTTTTCTGGTCCATCACTGGGTAAAAAGTTGTAGTCATGCAGCAAACTGACTGGACAGTTTAGCGCATTCCACTCTTCAGACGTGAGAGCCGCACCGGGGACTCTATCAGATGAATGTTGGCGAGGAAAAGTGCCAAAACGTTGCTGGTCATGCATCACCTGAGGAGAGCCTCGAGGTTTTTGAGCCATTGGAGGTTGCCTGGGATGTGCGTGCGACTGCAACTGCCGAGCACTTGCAGGCTGACTGTAAGATGTCGGCGCCTGTGGAACGGGCATCTTATTCGAAACAGGAGGCGGGTATAACTGGGGCATAGCGTTAGATCGTATAGCTTGAGAGGTAGGTTGAGGCGGAAAGCTGTGTTGCTGTGGTTGTTGTGCAACTGACGCTGGGACCATGTGAGGAGTAAACTGGGGTTGCGCTGAACTTTGAGCAGCCTGTGCTTGCACAGAGGGAATGACTGGTTCAGATGTCGAAGGCGAATTTTGTGATGTGTCGTGAAGAAGTTGGTGCGAATTTCCAGAAGATGCTACAAAAGGGTACTGGGAAGGTGACGTAGTATAATTCGGTGTTTGAAAGTAAGGAGGCACAGCAGATAAAGCCTGAGAATGTTGGGCCGCCGATTGATAACCCTGTGAAACTGAGAGTTCGTTTTGAGGTGGTGAATAGCTTTGGCTCTGCGTCTGAAAGGCGGTCGGCTGAAGCTGTGAAGCCATCGGACTATGATGAGATGGGTCGGAAGAGTTGGAAGACATGGGTGCCATTTGAGGTGAATGAACAGAGCTCAACTCCGTGTTGTACGGAGATTGGTGCGTAGAGGGACCAAACGATTGTGAGTTCTGGTGGTATTTTGGGTGCTGTTCAGTTGCGTGGTTGAACGAAGGGGAGTAAGCTGTAGATGCTGTATATTCATACGGAACTTGATTAATCGGAGGGTGAGAGTCATTAGCAGCAGAAGACGGAGCTAAAAAGGGAAAATTTCGTTAGTCAAATATTTAGACTTAAAATGGTGGAATCTAGTATAAATAAGAAACAATGGCAACTCACCTTCGGTATTTGGTGCCGGCCAAGAAATTTGTGGGCCGAGCTGCACAGATTCTGTAAGGGGACCGGTTGTTGCGCAAGGCCCGTTAGGAGTTTGGTGAGCAGCAACAAAAACAGGGGACGACTGTGCATCTGCCTGAAATTTGCAAAAATACCAATAAGTGGTGACAACCATAGGTACTAAAATATATCAACATACCTTATTAAGACAGAAAGCCTCCTCCGGCTTGTGGCAGTTTAAGTGAGACTGTGGCGGCTGGGAAATGCCAAAATAATCAAGTGATTGCTCCCGACCACCTGACATGATCTATAAAATAAGGTTTGGAGAATTCAATCCATAGTAATTTACCAATTTTTTAAGGCTTTCAAACGTGGGAAAAAATGCAGACGCTCCTATAGTGGCAGTTCATTAAACATGGTATATTTCGCAAAACTACAAATTTCTCTTTGAAACAAATAAGAGAATAACTGATTTCAGAGCCTTTGATAACCTGGCAAACTTATGAAAGTTGGTAAATTATACTTTAGGGCTTGGAGGACGCTCGGATAAAAATTCAGCTTACGGCAAATGATAGGCAACACGTTTTGCCTAAAACAAAATGTTTGAAAATTCTGACTTTAAAGAGAATAACCACAAAACCATAATCCTGATGTCGCAAAAATGTGCTAACTTTAGTCTGTACAATTAAAGCAGCAAGCATCCATAACAACAGGGGATCCCCCACACTTTGAATGACGATCCCAATACTAAAACCAAACGTAAACGGAGGATTTATGCCATGAAAACAACGCTAATACTGAATTCAGAACTAACGAAAAACTGGTAAAGAGGCAAAAGTGACATACGAAATGTTATTTTATTATAGACATGAACATCGACAACTGATAAAAACAGAAGCCGTAAATTAAAAAAAAATCACACAACAACTCAAAGAAATGCTCTGAGAAAGAAACCAACCCAATCTACTTTTAGATTGCGTCTTTATTACACTAATTTGCAATTACTTAAAAGATTCTAAGCATATTTATCATTAAAAGAACATTTCGTTTGTCAAATGCACATTTTTGATGTTTAGAGACCAACAAGTAACACGTCAGAGTGCTAGAAAATTCTCATGACCTAAAAATTAAAAGTCTAGCCCTCGATTTTAAGTACAATCCTTCAGCAAATTCAAAATCTCAGCTGAATACCTACTCGCAATTCAGCGTAAGTGCAACAAGCAGGAGAGTGACGTACTACAGAAGAAGTCAAAAAGCACACAGATATTACAAAGCGATTAAAAGCAGAGCATGACAAAATCACTTCTTTCCTCGGTTCCTATCATAAAGTTTTTTTTAAAGTAAATAAAATTGGAGTTATTTTATTGCATTGTAAAATACTTAACACTTTCTAATTAGGTTTT